GGGGCGGCGGTCCCCAAGGCAGCCGGTTGTGGTTCCGGTTCCGTCGGCTGAGACACGTGAAGGTCGGGGAGTTGGTGCGGAGTTCATCTCGGCGCGCTTGGTCCGGCTGGGATGGATTCCTCTTCGAATTCCAACGGGGCGGGCTTGGGCTCAGTGGACCCGCAGCTGCAGCATTTCATCGAGGTGGAGACTCAGAAGCAACGCTTCCAGCAGCTGGTGCACCAGATGACGGAACTTTGTTGGGTGAGGAGCCTGGGGCTGGGACCTGGCCGCCTTTCCTACTTGCCCCTTGTCCTTGCCCCGACGTCTGGGATTCGGGGAGGGGGGGCGCCCGACAGCACCCCTTGGTTTCCTTAGATTCCACAGGCCGAGCCAGGTGGGAGAAAAAGTGACTCCGCGTCTTAGGGGACTGTCACTCCGGACTTAGTTTTTGTTGGTGCAGAGGACTGGGGATCATGGAAGACTTACGCCGCTGTCCCAACCAGCACTTAAGGCCAGCAAGACTGATGACAGTCCCCCATACTGGGATCTTAGTTTTGGAACCCCCGATTCCCAGGGAGTCAGCGAAACTCCTGTTCCTGGACCCTTCAGTTCCTTGATTACCCAGTTTCTCTAACCGTCCTCTCTGAGAAATGAGTGGCTCTAGCCCACTAACTGTAAAAGTGGAGTAATCTCTCCACACTTACTTGCCTTTTGTTGCATTGTTGTATAATACCAAGCCGTTTTGGGTCTGAAGGTTGAGGAACTGTGTATGCCTTGTGAGGGGACTTTGGCAAAGGGTGGAAGGCTTTTGCACCTTGGAATCAAAGAGTTCTCTGGCTGCCAATGACAGCATAACTGCCCAGCCCTGAACATACAAAAATCCACAGAATTCAGAGGCCAAGGGTAATTTTTTTTGGAAGCAGAGGGTCTGAGGCTTGTGTACAAAGCATAGAATAATGACCAAAATTCATTTAAACTGCGTAACTTTTGAACTATGCATAGTCATCGGTTTCCATAGCCCTTTTCCCATAAACTTGTATTGCTGGACTCTGACCCTGAACAAATGCTTCCTTAACTCCTGTCTGCCTCGGACCAGAGTGCTTTGATTCTTTTAAAAAAAATCTGCGATTCATTACATTTGGCCCAGTGTTGGGTATGGTTAAAGACTCCTCTAAGAATCTGTAAGCTTTAGGAAAATTCATACAGTTTCCCATTCATCTTGGATTCAAGATGGATTCAAGAACCTCTGGCTTAAGTAGACAAGGTTACAGAATTTCAGGTCATAGATTTTCTTGTTTACTTTGTAGGTTTTTTTAGGATGTCTTGCTGCAACGATTTATCTTTACCATTTTATTCTGCAGTAAATTTAAAGGCATTTAATACAGCTCCATAATTTTCTGGCCCTGTGACATTAGGCAAAGCATATCTGTGCCACAGCTCCCCTGTTTGTAAAATGAGGATTAATAATAGTACCTATTCTGTAGGATTATGAGAATTTGATGTAAGGTTGTAGAAAATTCTCACCACAAAGTAAGCTGCTGCCAAAAGTGAACTATTATTAACACATCAGGTACTGTTTTATAGGTGAAGTTTTTCCTTTAAATAAGAAGTTACCCCCCTTTCCTTTTTTCCCAAGTTCCCTTTGTGATTCTTATCTTGTTCTCCTGACCAGGAGAAGTGCATGGACAAACCTGGGCCAAAGTTGGACAGTCGGGCTGAGGCCTGTTTTGTGAACTGCGTTGAGCGCTTCATTGATACAAGCCAATTCATCTTGAATCGACTGGAACAGACCCAGAAATCCAAGCCAGTCTTCTCAGAAAGCCTTTCTGACTGATTTCAACATTACATTTTTGGAAAAGGAAGGTAGTTCAAGAATAGTTGAGAAAAGGCTGTGGGGGGATTGGCTCCCGCTTTTGCACTCTTGGAGCATCTGGTCATCAGAGAATGAACAAAAGACCAATTTTTTTGTGTGTGTTTGGGGTTTGAGGGTCATATGTGTATTTGGTTGTGTGTTTTTAGTGTTAATCTTGTGAAAACAATTGACAGATGAATGGAAAACTTTCCTAGATGCATATTACTGTATGTGGGACTATGTTTTTCTGAAAGTCCCATTAACTGCTTTATAATTTGGGTAGTGGAACTGCTTTTTGTAATTTGATAGTGGGACCACATGGGTAAAATCTGTCATTTGCATGGATTTGTTTCANGTGTGTGTTTGGGGTTTGACGGTCATATGTGTATTTGGTTGTGTGTTTTTAGTGTTAATCTTGTGAAAACAATTGACAGATGAATGGAAAACTTTCCTAGATGCATATTACTGTATGTGGGACTATGTTTTTCTGAAAGTCCCATTCACTGCTTTATAATTTGGGTAGTGGAACTGCTTTTTGTAATTTGATAGTGGGACCACATGGGTAAAATCTGTCATTTGCATGGATTTGTTTCAGATGCCTAGGGACATTAATACACATCTTGGTGTCTCTGAGAAAGGGCAGCAATGGAGGAAGTGTAATTTGGTACTTAACTAGTGTTTTGACCACCAGTGCTGGGGGAAAATCTATGGAATGTTCATACAATACAGCTCAGCTTTCTAAATTATCTCCCTTCCTTATACTGTGATTTACTTAAATATCTATATAAAGTATGGTCTCGAAGTAGTACAGGCAGCCTGAGTATCTAGAGGCCTTTAGTTATAAAGGAATCTAGTCAGTGAACATAATTCTTGTTACTAAAGTGCCACAAGGAAGAAGTTAACTTACCCTGTATATCAGGGTCCAAGAAATTCAAAGATGTGCCTAAATAGGTTGTCAAGATTTAGGCCTGTCAAAAACTAACAGCAGTTTCAGGTAGAGGTGCATGCCTAATGTTAATCAGTATAGATTCCATTTACTGCATTCTTTTGATCATTGAAATAAAAGCTTCTACAAGATTCAACTGTGTGATTGAGAAGGCTTTCTATTCTGGTTCTCACCTGCACCCTGGAGAGATTCAGTGTGCACTGGTTCCAAGGCTGAAATGTAGTCAGTTTGGGTACCTGCTCTGTGCAAGTTATAGCAGTTTTCCAGGGATCCCTGACCTTTTTTGAGAAAAGATAGCCTTGAGGTGAGATGGGGAGGGAAAGAATTCAGTGCTGACAGCCAATTCCCCGAGTGTAGTAGAAGTTGTTAAATTGGATTCCCCTCCTCTTCAAATCCTAGTAGCCTGGAGTTTAGACCTTGAGGAGAACTACTTGTTCCGTGCCTCTTGTGCAAATCCATGAAAGTTGGGGAAATAACATTTCTAGAAGTCTTAAGTCCTTTTAGCTTTCCTGCACTTACGCATAACAAAAAACCCTAATGAAAACAATTCAACAAACGTTTAAGTGCTTACTTCGAGCTGGGATTCAGCAGTGCACAAAAGCAAAGTTCCTGTTCATCTGGAGCTTATGTTCTAGTGAGGGGAAACAGGAAATAAACGTGTAAATATGTCAATATAATGAGTGCTATGGAGAAAAAGCGGAGTAAGGGTTTTGGAGAATGTCTGTGGGGCGTTGTTATTTGAGATAAGATGGTTACAGAACACCTGCTTGGGACAATGAATGGCATTTCAGCAGAGACCTGCAAGAATTGAGTGACCAAGCCACATAGGCTTCTGGGAGAAAAACATTTCAGGTAGAGGTGACATACATCCAAAAGCCCCAGGATGGAAGCTGCATGCTGTGATGCTAAAATAGAAGTCAGAAGGTCAGTATGGCTGGAGTGAAGTAAGGAGAATGGTAAGAAAGGACGAGAAATCTGCCTGAGATGAATTGGGGCCTTGGGGTGGGGGCGGGGATGTGCGGTGATCATGTAGGGTATTTTAGGCCATTGCAAGGGTTTGGATTTTACCCAACTGTAAAACAAAAGGATTGGATTAGCAGACTCTCTTCCTGAAATGAAATCTTAAAAGCAAGATGGGAAGCCATTTGAAGATTTTAAGCAGACAAGTGATATGATATAACTTGTTTTAGGAGGGTCTGGCTGCTGTGTGGAGAACATGTACATGGGGGAAAAAAGTAGTAGCAGCAGCAGAGTAGTAAGAATAATACCATTTTGGGGTCCAGGAAAAATCAGGATTCTGGGGTAGGCATCTAGTATATACCTTGTGTCAATATGCCCCTATTGATTTTTTTCCCCTGCAAAATTTAGTGTGTTCATGTAAAACCTCAGGTCATAAAGGAAGGTCCTTTGGTCTTTCCCTTCTTATTCTTCATTCTTCCTAATTCTTTTTATTATATATTTATTTTTTATTTTATTACTATACCATTGTTCCTTATTCTTACTTCATCTGGTATTAAAGTGTTCTCATTACATTTAGACACAAACTTAAACGTCTTTGTTTTACAGTATTGCTTGCTCAGCTAATATAATGAGGGTCCTCTGTCAGATTCATACAGTATTCTTGAGCACCAAGGGATGTGTTCAGCACAAAGTAATGGGAAAGAAGAGTCAGAACATTGGCACCCATCCTCAAGGGGGTGAAGTGCCAGAGCAACAATTTGAGCTTTTGTTTGTTTTGTCAATCTCAGGAATTTATTTTCAGAACCTTGACAGAAATGTGGTACTGTCAGCCCTAATGATATTCAAAGTCCTCATTTCAAATATTCAGGGTACAATACACAAGACTGAGCTGTAAAACAAAGGGATTGGATTAGCAGAGTCTTTTCCTGAAATGAAATCTTGAAAGCCTAATTAAAACATAAAATAGAAGAGCAAAGCTGCTCTGGTGGCACGGGTATCTAGAGTCCTGTCCATTGTTGTGGCCTCACTAT